ACATTTCGGACATCAATTCTGGCTTTGAACGTATGAGAGCCCTACACAATGGTCAAAGATTAAGAAGTGAATCATAGCCATTTCCCACTTGCCACTTCTAAACCTGTGTTGCCTTCCACAGCCAAGCTGTGGGTCAACATGTGTCCGAATCCTATGCCTGTTTTTGAGTAATGTTCCAGAGATGGTTTGACCTCCAATCTACACACTTGTTGAGCCATTCTGAAGACACATCTGGATTTAGTTTGGGTTGGGTGGTGGGAATCAGGGTGGTTTTGTTTGTAAGTAGGGCTATTTTTTGCCTTAAGGTGAATTGCTCACTGGTTTTGTGGACTAGCAGACCCGTCAGAAAGGTTCAGCATTTTAAGGTGGAGCCGATTGTGCCAGAGGTGAGGTCCTGCTGAGTCACAAAATAGCAGTTCCTTCTGCTTCCACAGAACCTGCATTTCCACTTTGCCTGTTACCTGAGTCCTGCTTATTAATAAGGTAGGCTGAGTTAGCTGTAGCTTATTGGTTTAATGACTGGGGAGGGAATAAAAGATGGGTTTGGGGGATCCCAAGTCTCTTGTCACTGGTAGTCATGGAAATGAGGAACAACAGCCCCGAAATGAATGCATTTAACGCTTAAATCTATATAAGTCAAGTGAGAGGGACAAAGCTATGACTTGAGAATGGGGGTGAACAAGATCATAAAGCAGTAAGGAGGCAGGAATGTTGCTCCAGGAAGTTAAGGGTGAGGGGAGATAAAAGTTTTAGCAGCAGTAGGGGAAGTCTTCTATGAAAAAATGAGTATTTTCTTCCTCTGTTTTAAGTTTGCATCGCAGCAGTTTCTTCACTTAGTTCCAGAGTTTTCTTGAAAGCCTAAACTCATACAGCTCAACATTAAAACCATTAAAAATATGAGATTCCTTCTTTACAAAATGCTATGCAGAACCCATTCTGAGAATGTGGCTTTATCATTCAGTAGCCTATGGAATAGGGATGGGAAACTGTGGCTCCTCAGATGTTGGATCCTAACTGCACAAGCTGAGGGTGAGAGGAGCTTTAGTCCAACACCATCTGGAAGGTCACAAATTTCCAGCTTTGTTGTAGAAAATAAGAGATATATCACCAGAGGCAAGAAGGCGTCCTTGTCTAAATGAAGAGCACAAAGAGGAGCATAAACTTTCACAAAAGAAATGCAAGAAGACAGTAAAGAATGCTTTAAAAAATTGAGGAGCCTTGGACGACAGGGGAGTCAAAGGTGTGCTACTGGAGAATAAGGAGATTTCAGAGAAGGCGAATGAATTATTTTCTTCACAGTGGAAGATGCAAGGCAGGTTCCTGTAACTGAGCAATTTTTCTCGGGAAGGGAGTCTGAGGAACTGAGGCAGATAATGGTGGTAAGAGATGGAGTTCTAGGCTTATGGACCAATTACATACTGACAAATGACTGAGTCCAGATTGGAATCACCTGACAGTTCTTAAAGAACTCAGATTATTAAAGATGGAATTGCCAAGCGCATGGAATAACCAGTCCTTCAGAAGCAGAGCCAGCAGAGCTTCTGCAAGGGTAAGACTTGTCTCATTAAGCAATTAGAGTTCTTTGAGAGTGTCAGCAAGCTTATAGCTGATCCAATCAACAGTATGTTCTTAGACTAGAAGTGTCTCGCCAAATGTTCCTGAGTAAGCTTACCAGTCCTGGAATAATAAGAAGAGGTTCTCCTGTGGATCTGGAACTGTTTAAGGAATAGGAAGCAGAGAGTATGAATAAATGGGCAGTTCTCATTGTAGAGAATATAGAAGGCAGAGTCCCTTCTATATTGGTACTGGGATGTGCTTTTTAACTTGCTTATAAGCGGTGTAAAATTAGGAGTTACGTTGTGAGAAAGCCAGGGGTAATGACAATATCAAATTGTTCTAGGTGCTTAAATCAAAAAGGTTGATTTTGAGACGCTCCAAAATGATCTCTCCAAACTGGATGAATGTGTAGTAAAAAGATAAATGCAACTCAAATGTAAACTGATGCACGCAAGAGCAAGGATTCCTAACTGGCAATGACTACAAGGCAGGTTCCTGTAACTGAGCAAGCTTGGGGGTTGTAAAGGATAATTTGATTAATATGCCAATCCAGTGTGCGGCAGCTGTGAAAAAGGTGAATTCCATGTCTGGGATGGTTGGGAAAGGGATTGAAAATAAAATGACCAACATCATAATGCCGTTATACAAACCTGTGGTGAGACCATTTTGAAATACCGTGTACAGTTCTGGTTGCCTCACCTCAACAAGTATAGCATAGAGCTGGAAAAGGTTCAGAAAATGGCAACCCGAATGATCAAAGAGACAGGCATCTTGCAATGGTGGAAAGCGTTGCCTCTCTTTCTCCCCCACTAGCCATCCTTCCAATTCCATACATAGTTTCTGCCAAGGGAATTGCTCCTTGCACCTTGAAGAGGGAGTTGAAAATACATATAATTCAAGTAAGGTCTCAAAGGGAAAATGGCGTGTCAGACAATGCGTCATTGTGTGTTTGCACTGATGCAGGAAGTCAACATTCACTTCCTGCCTCCCAGATAACAAGATTAATTCTTTGGGGGTTTTTGTTGAGATACCATCCACAGACGGTGATAATTTCTTGCTAATGCAAAATACAGCACTTGAGTTGAGTGCCCTTTTCCTCTGTGCAAGTGTGCTGCGCTGGCAGAAGGCTGTGAAGGGGAGGACCAGAAAGAGAAGCAGGAAAGGTAACTCCTAACTCCTGATTTCAGCCTCACTAAGGGGAAACTCCCTTTCCCCACCTTTCTCTGCATGAGAGACGCTTAGTATTTTTCACTCTCACCACCGATTAGGCTCTAAAAACTTGCAGAAGCAGCTGCAGGTTTAACACCTTGACAAGGAAAGTGTCACTATCTTGACATATGCTAAAGGAAGTTGGCTCATCTTTCTAACTGCATATTTGTGGGCACATCACTAGTTTCAAATGAAGCATTTGTTCTTTCCTAGACTTCGCGAAGGAGATGCAATGCAGGAGGGTAAAAGCAAAGGGGAGGCATTTCTCCCCTTTCCCAAACTTATAATATTCAACCTAGTTGGAGGTTGCTGCAGCTTTGAGTCTTAGAACTGATCTTGCTATGTTAAAGCGATAAACAACTACCTGACATTCAGAAGACATCTGAAGGCAGCCCTGTTCAGGGAAGTTTTTAATATGTGACATTTTAGTGTATTTTTCATCTTTGTTGGAAGCCGCCCAGAGTGGCTGGGGAAACCCAGCCAGATGGGTGGGGTACAAATAATAAATTATTATTATTATTATTATTATTGTTGTTGTTGTTGTTGTTGTTGTTGTTGTTGTTGTTGTTGTTATTATTATTATTATCTGCTCCATCATTTTCCAGGTCTCACCATGGTTGTTCTGCGGTCCTGATGTCCACAAAAGCCAAAACATGCTTTTTTGTTCCTTTAACAATCCAAGCAATAGGCCCGGGCAACTGCAGACAGCATGAATCACTCAGTTAAAAGTGTCATCCCTAAGCAGGGTTCCTGTGACTTTCATAGATTTTTATATTTCATATTCTTTCTTCTTTTGCACTGTTTACGTTCCCTACTTCACTTCACCCAGGCGCGTATATGCACATCTGCCAACTGAGCATAGCATTCTATGCCTGAAAGTGGACTGTATGCCACAAAACCTGATGTCATAATAAATTTGTTCGTTTTTTAGGTGCCCCAAGATTCTCCCTGGCTTCCCCCACACACACCTTTAAGCTCAAATTAACACTTTTGTATTGTCATCTAGCTCAGACATCTTAGCACTTTTTTGTGATGGGAGGGGGGTCCAAACAATAACAGGTTGGAAGCAAATGGGAAGAAAACAGCACTTTATTAGATTTGACCACACACTCCAGCACCCTACCCCATTCGTTAGAAACTACACTAGCATAATTAAATACTAAACACACAGAGATACACAGGAAATCAGGAGAGAGAGAGGTGCATCCTTTCCCTACCCAATCTTTCAGTTGGGGGGTTGCTTTGGTCTTCCAGCATTTAGCGATGCAAATTCTGGCTGTCTCTAGAAGAGTTGCAATTACTTCTAGGTCTGTTGGACTCTCCTCCAATCTCAGACAGCAAAGATGTGTTGTTTTGAGAGTGTGTGGCAAGTTGTAAACTGTGCTTTCTCATACCATCTCAAATAAGCTGTTCCATAACTTTTTTTACACTGCCAGAAGATATGCTAATAATCTACTCTTAATGATCTACATCTCCATCAGAGTATATTTATTTTATATAGTCTGCTTAGTCTATGAGGAATAACAATGAGAAAGATTGTCTTGAAGAAATTCTTTTTGAGAGTAGAGCTCATCAGAGATCTGGGAATGTTATTAAACAACCAAACCCATTTCTCTTGTTGGATATTAGAATTTAATTTTATCAAGTCTGTCACCCATTTAATGCTATATGTGGGCTGTGTATGAGTAAGTTTAATTTCAGAAAGAATTGCGTGAACATTAGTTATTAATTTATTTTGGTTAATTTTCAGTAACAGAGTTTCAAATTCTGTCAATCTATGCAGTCTTCCATATTTGTTTATTAGTTGTTCTCCCATGTGACTGAGTTGGAAAAACCGAAAGATAGAGCCCATTGTCCCAATGCAAGTAAGGCTTGGTGATATGAGATTGTGTGTTCCTCTTCAATCCAAGCTCCCACATGCATGGCGTTTCTCCATATTGGCATATTGATTGTGCCGTATCATCCTTGGTTTGTAAAATAGATGTTTAAAGGAAGAAACACAACAGGGGAAGGTCATCACTAATTGCTTTGGAAACCGTGCCTTTGGAATATCTTGTCTGTAACCTAGCAGTTATGGAAGTATGTTGTCAGAAAAACGTGAACAAACTTGGATATCACTTTGAGAATGTTCATAATTGCTAGAATAGGAAGATATGGAGCTGCCATTGGTCCATCTAGCTCCCTGTTGTCTTCAGTGCCTAACAGTAGCTCTTCCACGGTTTGGACAATGAGTTTTTCCCACCCAGAGATGCTGGAAATTGAACCTGAGACCTTCTGCATGCAAAGCAGATTCTCTGCCACTAAGCTACAGTCCTTAGGAGTCACAGTTCAGTGGGAGAGCACATGTTTTGTGGACGGACGGTCCCAGGTTTACTCCTTGTTTTCTCCAGTTAAAATGATCTCAGCAGAGCTGGAAAAGATCTTGGTGGAATCATGACAGGTTCTTCATCCACGTGTTAAAGGCATGAAAAGCCCTGATTTCCTCCTTTGTATCTGGTCACCTTGGGGACGGATGTTTACTGGCAGAATCATGAAATCATACAGTTGGAAGGGACCATGAGGAAGAAAAAGAGTTTGGATTTGATATCCCACTTTATCACTACCCGAAGGAGTCTCAAAGCAGCTAACATTCTCCTTTCCCTTCCTCCCCCACAACAAACACTCTGTGGGGTGAGTGGGGCTGAGAGACTTCAGAGAAGTGTGACTAGCCCAAGGTCACCCAGCAGCTGCATGTGGAGGAGCGGGGAATCGAACCTGGTTCACCAGATTACGAGTCCACCTCTCTTAACCACTACACCACACTGGCTCTTGAGGGCCTTCTAGTTCAACCCCCTGCAATGCAGGAATCTTTCGTCCAACGTGGGACTCAAACCCACAACGCTGAGATTAAGAGCCTCACACTCTAGCAACTGAGCTATTCAGCGGCCTACCTAGCTTCACCAAAATGACGGTTTTGCCACTGTGAAGATGCAGTATGGCCAGGAAGCTGAGTTTGTTGAATTTCTGCCTGTTTCTCCTAAAGTCAGAGAGGAGAAAGGAGGCATCCTTGAAATTAACACCAGTGTTTCTGATTATTCACCTGCCACCAAGAAGAATGGGTCTGTTTGTGACTTAAATGCTTGTAAAAAGACATTTAAATTATTCAGGTTGTGACAGCAAGCGTGATTGATTTTATTGTAGTTTTGAGTTTCTGCACAGCCTATCTTAATTCCAATATAACCCTCCCTCTTGGGAGCTGCTTCCATGGCTTTGATTTACTTTCAGTGTGATCCTTAGTAGCAACTCCCGAGCCATTAGGCTTTGCATGTTTCCCCCTTCTGCTTGCTGTTGTGTGAATGGAGATCTACTAACAGCCATGTCTTAAGCAGGGATTCAGTAGCAAATCCTGTTGCCATTGGCAAATGCCTAGTTTTTCTGCACTGGGTGGGTAGTGCGTTACCTAAACAATGATTTTATAGTCTGTAGCCACGGTTACCCAATTCCGTCGCTCACAGTTGACAGAATGGGCTGTGTAATTATTAAAAGACTTGACTGCTTTATGGGAGTCTATGACAGGAGTGATTCATGTAGCTACCATGCAGGTTTTGAAAATGCTAAAACACATGGGAATAGATCTGGACCCTGGTGGATTATTAATATCTTACTAGAAACTTGGCAGGGAAGCGAGGGCAGAAAACCCTCAGGCAACAGCTAAATAGAAAAAAACGTATTTGCAACTGGGAATGGGCGAATCAGACAATTTGGGGTTTTCTCAGTTTCTCATTTTTACAATCTTACGTTTGGTTCCCCATTTTTCCCGCATCAGTTTGTGCTTTTAAACATTTGTGCATTAAAATTAATAAGCATTTTAGTGTGAGTTTCTCCTGACAGACACACCTTTGTAGACAATTCTGCTGACACAAACATTTTTTGCAACATGTAAGCACTCTGGCTGCCGCATTTTGCACTACAGTAGTTGCAGTTTGCAGACCTTCTTCAAGGGCAGCCCCACATTACAGTAGTCTAGCTTGGAGGCTGCCAAGGTGTGGGGACCATAGCCAGGTCACCTCTGTATACAAAGGCTGTAGTTCGTGCACCAGCCAAACCCAAGCACAGGCACTTCTAGCCACCAAGGCTAAATGGGCCTCAAGTGACAGTGACTGATTGTTCAAGCAGTACATACCCAAACTACACACCCATTCCTTCATAGGGAGTGCAAAGGGAATTCCCCATTATATTCAGACCCTGGGAACCCTGGTTAATTTAAATCAGGCTTCCTCAACCTCGGCCCTCCAGATGTTTTTGGCCTACAACTCCCATGATCCCTAGCTAGCAGGACCTGTGGTCAGGGACGATGGGAATTGTAGTCTCAAAACATCTGGCGGGCCGAGGTTGAGGAAGCCTGATTTAAAGTACAGTCATGTTACGTCCGCTTCAGGTTGCGTGTTTTTGTATTGCGTCCCGCAGCAACCCGGAAGTACCGGAATAGGTTACTTCTGGGTTTCGCCGCATGCGCAAAAGCGCTAAATTGCGCTTTGCATGTGCGCAGAAGTGCCAAATCGTGCCGCACGCCTGCGGAGACGCAGCGCTTCAAGTTGCAGGCTTTTCACGTTACGGACGGGCCTCCGGAACGGATCCCGTCCATAACACAGGTATCACTGGTTAGTAAACAAACCAGGACCACAAGCCATTGTTTGAACAAAAAAATCATTTTAAAACAACCATGGTTCCTCCAAGTTTGGACACACTGAGGAGCCTCTGGTTCACTTCAATCTAGAAGCTGGATCTTACAAACTTTTACTGCAGCACAGCTGCAAACAGCAAGGGTCTGGGAAGGCTCACTGCTGTCCATGCATGTAACACAAAACAGTGGTTTAGTGTTGTATGCTAAAAGGTTCTATAGGCGTGCAGAGCGGCGGATTCTAAGCTGTCAGGAACATCATTTAAAGAAGGGAAATGCCTGTGCTGCGCTCAATATTTTTAATAAAAAGTAATAAAAGGCCACAGGTATGTGATCAATACTTAACAAACTTCTGTGAAATTCCCACCGTTCTTAAGAATATGTTTCAGGAGATTAGAGGACAACACAGTTTTTCATGGCTTTCTTTCTCGCTGCTCTGCTGAGCTGCCCACCTGCGAAAGAGCATTTATTCTTTCCTAACCAGCTTCTAAATGTGGAGCCTAGTTGCCCTGTATGAAAAAACTGTTGCTTGCACAGCTGACCAGGAAAATGAACAGGATGTGATAGTTGAATGACCTGTTTTCTAAAGACATTTCACTGTTGGCAGATTAAATAATTCACATACTGCTGGGCTTCTAAGTATTGCTACCTTTTAAAATATGTTGGCTTCCTTTTTCAGGTGCAAATATTGCAGGTGTTTAAGAAATTTGAGAAAGCATAGCTCCGATGCTAGAACTCTGATGTTACGTAGTTTTTAAGAAGCGTTTTTATTTGTAGTGTCTATTTGTGTGCAGTGAACCATTTTGGGGGTTTGTGGTTGGAGGGGAGGATATTGCTTGGAATATAGAGCACCGAGGTAAACTGTGGGGGTGAGTTGAAGGGAGCGTGGAATAACTTTTAGGAGAGGACATTTGCTGGGCGCAAGTGGGTCTCGGAGGTTACTAGCTCAACTTGCATTCATGCCAAACCTCTGTTTACTATGGACTTATTTCTGCTGTTCCTCAAATACTCATGCTAACTCATGCTGAAAACTCTTGATCACCTACCTTCATAGCTGAATCCGCACAGTGCTGTTAGCACAATAAAGCTGTTATGGTAGGTTTTAGTATTAAGGGGGGTTCAGCCCCTTGGGGATGAAACGACCCAGTGCTCATGTTTAGATCCTTCTTAAAACTGCTTGTTTAGCATTAAGACTGAGAGCAGTGCTGTGGTGGAGCAACCGCCGTATCCAAAGCTTTGCCAACTACCTGCATCCAGAACAGGAAAGGCAGCGAGGGCAGGGGGCAGCTTTGTTTATTTTTCCTCATTTGCCCCCTCCCCCAACTCCAGCTTGGCAGTGGCAGCACTGGTGGGGCATCCAGGGACATACTGGGATCAAATCGAATGCTGGGATGGCTTTCATAATTCCACGACTGTCCCTGGAAGACAGGGGCATTTGGAGAGTATGCCACTACAGTGGTACCTCAGGTTACATATGCTTCAGGTTACAGACTCCGCTAACCCAGAAATAGTACCTCGGGTTAAGAACTTTGCTTCAGGATGAGAACAGAAATCGTGCTCCGGCAGCAACAGGAGGCCCCATTAGCTAAAGTGGTGCTTCAGGTTAAGAACAGTTTCAGGTTAAGAACGGACCTCCGGAACGAATTAAGTAATTAACCCGAGGTAGCACTGTATATATTGGGACACGGGTGGCGCTGTGGGTTAAACCACAGAGCCTAGGACTTGCAGATCAGAAGGTCAGCGGTTCGAATCCCCGCGATGGGGTGAGCTCCCGTTGCTCGGTCCCTGCTCCTGCCCACCTAGCAGTTCGAAAGCACGTCAAAGTGCAAGTAGATAAATGGTACTGCTCTGGCGGGAAGGTAAACGGTGTTTCCGTGCGCTGCTCTGGTTCGCCAGAAGTGGCTTAGTCATGCTGGCCACATGACCCGGAAGCTGTATGCCTGCTCCCTCGGCCAATAAAGCGAGATGAGCGCCGCAACCCCAGAGTCGGTCACGGCTGGACCTAATGGTCAGGGGTCCCTTTACCTTTACTTGAACATTTGTGTGAGTTCAGACTTCTCTGTAGCAACCTTCTCTTTACCACTGTATATCAACCTTTACCACTGTATATCTAAAACACCACATTTTCCCCTATGAACTTGTCCAGACCTTGGATATCATCTGAGACCCTTCCTTCTCTGTATGCCCCTTCCAAGGGACGTTTGGAGAGTGCCAGCAAGAGAGCAGGCATGATATATTATGGGGTCGAGGTGGCACTGTGGTGTAAACCACAGAGCCTAGGACTTGCCGATCAGAAGGTCGGTGGTTTGAATCCCCATGACGGGGTGAGCTCCCGTTGCTCTATCCCAGTTCCTGCCCACCTAGCAGTTCGAAAGCACTTCAAAGTGCAAGTAGATAAATAGGTACCACTCCGGCGGGAAGGTAAATGGCGTTTCCGTGTGCTGCTTTGATTTGCCAGAAGCAGCTTAGTCATGACCTGGAAGCTGTACACCGGCTCCCTCAGTCAGTAAAGCGAGATGAGCGCCACAACCTCAGAGTCGTCCGCGACTGGACCTAATGGCCAGGGGTCCCTTTACCTTTACCTAATGATATATTACTGTACTGTTAAATCTGTTTTTAATAATATTTATGTGATTTTATTACTGTGGCTTTTTTACTTG